CAACTAGAGTTCAAACAGAATACTATGAGAAAAAGTTGGAGAAGATGAAGCTGCAGGAATCAGCAGCAAAAATTGTTAACAATGGGGAGTTAGCATACTACAATATGTAAACAATTCACCAAATTTTCTTGTACAACGTATTAAATTGACAATATTATATTTATATTATGTTAAGTAGATACTTATTATTTTTTTGTAAGCCTTGGAGATTTTGAGATATATCTTGTTTGTTTAAAAATTCCAGTGGACTAGATGATAAGATGAGCTTAAAATGTAAAAGATCAAAGTAGGTATGTTTGATTTATTATTAATATTATTAAAAAGTTTGTAATAAAATAAAAACAGTTTGCGAAGTGAATAAACTTAATGATTATTCAAATTTTGTTTTTTAAAAACCAAAAAGATCTGATGGCGACGATGGCGTCAATAATAAAACTAAATTAAATTTGAACTTTTATTTAATACAGTTTTATATCTACATTTAATTATCAAAGTTTTTTATTACAATGCTCAAATTTCTTCTCCTTGCTGGCGGAGAGGTAGATCAACTTCGTCATTATCATTGTCATCTTCTTCTGGCACTTCTTCAGGTGCTTCAAAATCGATGTCTTGCAAAGTTTTCGCCACGTTATGAAGCACCATACAGACAACAATTATTTTTGGCACATTCTCCAATTTCACTCGGCAAACATAATGCAAAATAGGAAATCGACGCTTCAGTTGACCAAAACAACGTTCAATTATCACTGGCTCTTTTTTCAAAAGTTTATTATAATTTAGCTCAGCACCTGGAGCGGGATTTCTGAATGGAGTCATGAGCCACGGCTCTATACCATATCCATCATCAGCAAGTAGCACGACGTTGTTTTTATTTTTTAACTGAACCCTTATCTGTGAATTTCTCCATATTCTTGAATCGTGGACCGATCCAGGCCAACTAACGTCCATACTAGTGAACATTTCTCTTGCATCACAAGTGGCTTGCACATTCAGTGTAGGATGACTTTTTCGGTTGACATACTCATCACCATGGCGATTTGGTTTCAGTATTCCTACGTGCGTACAGTCAATTACGCCAATTGCTGTCGGAAACCTATATTTGCTTTGCCATAACTGTTTCGCATTCATAAGTTCATTGTTGGTAGACGGAAACTTTATCCAGTAATTCGATTGCGCCACAATGCTGTCAATTACGACAGTCACTGTACGAGATACTGTAGCTTGACTTACACCCAGTTCTTGACCAATGCCTTCCTGATACCCAGGGTCACTGAGACAACGTAAACATATCTGCATTTTTCGGACGGATGATAGCGCACCTCCTCGAGTTTCAGCATTAATTCCCAAAAATCTGTCGGCAAGCCATTGCACATTTTCCTCTTCAATACGATATAGTTCTTTGTAATCACGAACAGGTGTTGATAAACGCTGCTTGTAATGTTCAATTTCTCTCAGTTCCACAACATCTGCCATCGCTACAACTGATCACTACACGACTGAGTCTACTACTGACCACACTCGAAATTATTGAAGGATATCCTTCTTATTTAGAGTAGAAGGTAACTTTTATGAATAACCAAATACTTTCTGTGAAGGATATGCTCATACTCTATAAGTATAAGGTTTTACTCGGAATATTATGAATGCGAGCTGAAGGATTTCCTTCATATTCTGCAAGTATAAGCATAACCTTTTTTTTATGAATACGGCCCATTGTTTGAGTAGTTCATTAAGCTTGAGCTTATTAAAAGGCAAGTTTTTCTAATGCTGATAATTATGTAATGACTGTATTATAATTAATTTTCAATTCTCAAGCAAATTCACTGAAAAATCCTGATTTTTCTGGTGAAATAAATCTCTCTGGCAATTTTATATTTACCATAATTTGCCCTTGCTATCTACTACCTTTTCGTCGGTAGAAATATTTGAACAGGGCAGTGTTTATATATAATTTTAATTTATTGTTCCACCTATGTTCTCTGTTTTAGTAGTATTATCGGAGCATGTCCAACATTGACTTCTGACAGAAACTCAGATCTGCCCCCGGATTCTATTTTACGAGTCGAATCGAATTGTCTCGATATCGAATACGACAGCTCCGAACGTACTGTGTAATACGTATGGAAAAATGGAAAAATAGAATCGCTATTACGACAATTCGATACGAATTTCGACTCGACTCGTAAAATAGAATCCGGCCTCAGGGTTCTTATTCTTGAAACAGTGGAGCAGCGTTGCCAGGAGAACGAGTAGTGCGTCTTTCTCAATGATATGCAAATGATAATATAAGTAACAAAGACGGAATACTCGTTCTCCTGGGAACGCTGTTCCCTGGTTTCAAGAATAAGGACCCTGGGCAGAAGTTATGAATGGTGTTTTTGGTGTTATCTCTCGACTATTGGCAATCGACAGTAATTTGGATGTTTCAGTATCATTGCGACAGTCGTGACAAAAATCTTTTCCAAGCTTACAGGCTTAGTTTGCGTATAAGCGTACAAATGGCCGATGGCCGCTATAATGGTCTATGCGTTGACTGCGGTCACATTCAGCTGAGATCAACATGTTGAGATATCAATCTGCCACTTTGGTAACAACAGATGACATTCAAATCATGGCCAATCATTCCAATCAAATGCTTTTATCTGTAGTAAGTAAGGAAGGTAATAATAATAATAATAAAAATAATAAATTACTTTATTAGGAGCAAAACAATAATCACATAATCATTCCATAAAAATGACAGGGTCTAACGGCTATTTGCACCGCTATAACTTAAGGGATATTCAATCTAAGTGGAGCTTTGAATGTGACTTTTGCTTCTACAAGAGTCACATTCAAAGCTCCACTTAGATTAAAATATCCCTTAAGTTATAGCGATGCAAGACTGGCGCAAGTCTAGCCTTAGGCTACTCCACTGAACCAGAAAAAGACAAAAAAACAAAAAATAAGTCATATGCAGGGTGTATCAGGTTTGACTACAAAAAATTTAACACGTGAAAATATGGCCCATTTTGAACAAAAAAAGTGTATACAACATGGGGTCCAAATTCAACCATTTTTAAGAAAAAGGCCTTTGAAGTTTTGACATTTTTTGACAAATATTTGAAAAGATAAAGAAAATTTTAGTCATTATGAGATGTAAAAAAATTTAGTTCATCCAATTATTACGTAATTATGCATTTTTAGTCAACAACAATAATGAAAAATTGAAAAAACAACATATATATTTTACTCGTAATATTTTACTCGTACTTCGGTATCTAAGCATCTGGCAACATAGCACAGAGAGAACCTTGGTTGAACTGATGATCTTGATTTGTTTTGTCATGTCAGTTAGTTGAAGTAAGTATTGGAAACGCGCGTAATTCATTCAACGGCATCCATGAAATAAATTGTGCCTGTTTTACGAAGATTGCGTGATACGGGAAATGTGAGTGTGCAAAATTTTCGTGTTGATTTTAGCGTTGATTTTTAGTGTTTTGAGAACCTTTTACGAAAAATTAGTATTTCGCAAACATTATTTGGCAAGTAGCTGAGTAAGTATTATTTAATTTTTCTCTTGAATGTTTAGTGCAAAAATGTCATTATTGAGTGCAATTAACAACTCAATAAAACGGCACATTTTTTATTTTTTCTAGAAAAATGGAAATTATTATTTACATTATTTGAAAGGGAATAACAAACCCAAACGTAGCCTCCAATATTATAATACCACAAGATAGGTACTGTGTTTCAATTCCCAGCTCCAATAAAATTGAAAAACTGGCGAACTTATATATATCTACGTTGAAAAGCTGAAATGTGGATGAAAGGTGCAGGAGCATATCCATCAGGACGCAGAAGCTTTTAGAGCCACGAGTGCAATATTTATCAACCATTAGCGACATAAGAGCAGGATTTGAATTCCATTGAGTACCTACCAGGCGCAGTATTTGTCGTGCGGCACCGGTTCTAATTGGAAAATTTCAATTTTGATATAAGGAGATAAACGGATGACATCCAGTCGGAAGAGACTGATTAAGAATTACCCAAAATCGACACTAATTGAAAGCTCACGGAGAGCACCATGTTCAAAAGTGGATTGAAGAAGGCTGCAGAAAAAGAATAAGAAGAAGAAAGGACAAATTTCAGCTTTCTATAGTTTTGGCTGTGTGTTGATAGATCAGTAAGTCAGTCAGTCATTCAGGACAATCGATTTAATAATTTTGGATTATCTTGACATGTAGTTGCTGTTCAGTGGGTTTCTGTTTATTATTCTAATTGGCATATCTACTGGCAAAATCATGCAGTATATTGAGTGATGTTTGCGTTGCCAAACTCTACTTACACCCGTGTGCATAATATAGACTTGGGAGTTTAATCTCGCTTAGTTCGAAAAATTGCATATAAGAAAAGTCCTAATCTGGTTTTAGCAACTAATCTGGATTAAGTCGTTACGGTGTATTAGGACATAAAAGAACTAGAAAAACAATACTTTGTCCATGAATGTGACTTGAGCAGTTTGATCATAATTTATTTTGGCCACTTGAATTGTATTGCTCTTTAACTATCTTATTTAGAAAGAATTATACCTATACGTTCAATAGTTTTGCAAAAAGTTCAGAGGCGATTGTCACGGTGATCTTGGTTATTTCGCAGATAATTAGAACTATTTGCTAAATACACACGATGCGGTAGTGAACTAGTTTTTTTACGAACGCGGGAATTTGTAATATTCGAGAATTTTTCTACCTTTGTTAGTTGCAGAATTGTATAAATTAAATAATTGTAAACTGTAATGAATAAATTGAAACTTTTGACATCACCATCAAATTTTATCAAATTCAATCGGATCGGCGGGAGTTGTATTAGCATTTTTATTACCGAAAATTTGATGGAGAATGGATGAGATTGAAGGTGATTAATTACCTAGTTGTTATTTATAAAAATGGCTGTTTTCTAATTGTGCGACAGAAGAATATATCATTGCTATCATTACAGTATTATTAACATAGACTTACCTTCTCTTCTTTCAAATCCCAGTTTGATCCAGCCTCAGCATTATCGTCCGTCGTTTCAATATCAACTTCATTATCGCTATCATCTGATTTATGTGATCCGCCAGAGCTCTCTACTATAGGTTGAACAGGTTTAAAAGCTGATTGATATGATTTATCAATAGAAAAAAACGGATTTTCTTGAGGAAATATTATAGGATTCCTTTTAAGCCAAGAGAATGACGAATAAGAAGAAAAATTTATTGGCTTATGACATATTAGATCCATAGCAACTGTAGAAATTGGGAGAGAAAGATCTTGGCAATGGGCTAACCTTGGAGATGGTACGACTGGTTGATTTTGAGGATCTATTTTGTTTTGTTTTAGAGAATGAGATACCACTGATGAGGATAATAATCTTTTTCTTGTCCCTCCATTAAACATAGCTTTAACATCTTCCCAAGCATGAACAATTTCTTCTGGAGGGGTTCCGCTCAATTTCATATGCCTTCTCCACGAATTGAAATTGGCTGCATCGGGCTGAACATATTTATCATTAGCGCTCAATCGATGAGAATGAAAAATAAACTTATTTGGTGAAAAAAATAGTCCACAAATCGTACATTTGATACATTTGGCTCTCGAAGAATTATATCTAGAAGGCAGGAATGATCCTTTACAACCCCAAGCGCATTCATGAAACACTCCAAAGGCAAAATCATCAGGGAGTCTAGGAGGAGCATTGTCTCCGAGAAAGCTTTTACAAAGACGCTCGGCTTCTCGACGAGTAATCATACCACATCTTCTAGAAGAAACAGGCATAGCGCCAGCTCGACGAAGGATTTCTAATTGTACTGGTGTACATTGCACACATGTAATACCTGAAAAAAAAAACATTCTGTCTATAATTTGGATACTATTGATATAGACATTATGTATAAAACTTATAGCAAAGTCTTTCTCATCGGTCAACGTTCAGTTATTTTTTTTATTTGCTCTTTCTCAAGAAATCAAAAATATATTAAAAGTAAAAACAAAAACACAAGAAAAATAAAGCATGTTAGAGATACCTAATGAATCATGTCTATAGCTGGCTGTTTATAGTGGCCCTTGAATGACATAATTAAATGTTTATTGCATAAAATGGTAAACTTTACATACAAGTTCTAAGGATTCACTATATAGCATACACATTTGAAATGTTTTTACGTGATCTGGACATGAATGTTTGCATATTTTTCGATACATTGATTTAGCTTTGGCTACAAGACAGTCACCAATAAAAAGTCTGTAGCCACATGGGTTGTCAGGATGGTATTTAGGTTTGTCAATATTGGTGGTTACATGGATAAAGAAGATAAGACAAATCATAATATTTTTTTTGAAACATACACGAGCAAAAGTGTAAGATCGGATATATTTTTTGAGCAGTGTGCCGATTAAACTTTTTTTACACTGATTTCCTCTTAGTTAATTAGATTTTAATTCATGGGATCACATGATTTATTTAGTTTTCTACATAAACCTTCTTTAACTTACCTAATGCCACTCTTCTGTTGTGGATCTCATTGTAACTAAACTGTTTTAGAAGAGTGTTAGAAATTTGAGCTAAACACAATCTTTCCCTATTCTCGATAACTAGTGAGACTATTGGAACTCCGTAGAGGACTACTGTAGACACCTGGAACTTAGGAGAAAACTAAATTAATTGACTGTAAAACATCTTTACACAGTGTCCCCCTAATGTTCGCTATATGTGGAAAAACTTTTTATTTGTAGGATATGCGTATTTTTTCGATGTCCGATCGATCCTGCATGTCCAATAAGCACTGTCATGGCAGTAAATTCGAAAATATCGATATGGAAACGCGGAAAGTGAGTTTAGATGGCAGAATATGCTGGAAAATCCTTATTTTTCTCCATGGATCTCTAAGTTTTTGTTATTGAAATAGTCCAAGTAGGTAACCCAATATTTTATGTGTAATGGTGAAACAAACTTAAGTTCTTCATTGAAATTATTCCTGATATCTTAAATAAAAATATTAGATTTGCACATACATAGAACTTTTCTGTAGCAATATTCTCTATCTTGACATTTTGTGAGATTTCCAATAATTTACTGTTGATACTACAATTGGAAAAGAACTGCTATTGATATTTTTTATGAAATATTTCTGAACAGTTCTAAAACAACTTATATTATTTGATAAGAGATGCAGGCCGGAAAATATAAGGAATTTCTGATTTTTGTTGCTTTTGCTCCAAATTTCGTAGACATCAAGACCTCAAATATCGTTCTAGACCCTTTTTCCAAAGAAATGTTTTCGATATTTTGCCATCTTATCTCGATTATCAAATTTGCCGTCATGATTGTTCACTTGACCGATGTCCTGAAAGTACATAGGTTATCGGAAATGCAGGATTGATCGCACATAAAAAAATCCCATTTCCTACAAATAAATAGTTTTCCTATCTGTAGCGAACATTATGGTGGACACTGTATACAGTGTAATTACTTAAGTGTGCAACATATGGGATTTTTTTTAGTAATAGCACAATCAAAATACAAACATGCCAAAAGTTTGTGCATGTCTAATAATCATATTAGGTGCACTTAGAATGGTTGCAAGTCCAATAGCATACAGGGTAGCTCAAAAAATATCAAAATTGTAGTAATATTTACTTGAATAAAATAAAAATTTTGCACTTCAAGGAGAGTTTTTTTGATATGGCCATTATCATTAGTAATGTTTTAACTTGTTGAAAAAAAAAATGCGACATTTTAAAGTTGTGTTGAATATCATTGCAACAAACATGAATTTTGTAATTCCAAAAAAAATTAAAAATCTAAGTTAATTTCACAAGTATGCTTGAATTTGAACAAAGTTATGTAAAATTGATTTGATTTTAATTAATTTTTGAAAGTATTAAGAGCGGAAATAAAAAATAAAAAAAATATAGAAATTATAATTTTTTTTCGAAAAAAAATAAAAAAACTCTTAGGAGGCTATGTTTTGGTACTTAGGCATAACTTTTAATTCCAAACAACTTTTCTCTATAACATTTTGCTGAATTTTCTAAAATAAAGGTACTTTACAGTACAGCTTTGATAATATTTGAGCTACCCTGTATGCTGTTTGACTTGCAACCATTCTAAGTGCACCTAATATGATTATCAGACATGCACCAAGTTTTGGCCTTGTTTGTATTTGGGTTGTGCTAATACTAAAAAAAATGTTGCACACTTGAAAAATCACACTGTATATGTGTGTACTTATTAAGTATATTTACTATTTCAGATATTTTAAACATAAGGAGATGTATCAACATTCTATAGTTAAATGGAATTATGTATTACTAAAAATAAGTATGGGGCATTGAGAAATCCTCATTTTTTAATTTTTTTAACACTTTGACAAAGCCTTCCGTAGGACGGGAGAGGGGGCTAAAATGTTAAGTATTCCAAAGCCTGTCTTAGCCGAATGCTTTATTTTTGATAGGGTAACGTGAACCAAAGAGTATTATAGACTAACGTCTCTAGAAGACCCGTCCGCTAGCGAAAATATAAACCCGCGTGATGGCGCTGGTGTCCTAGTAAAATCCGTCGTTTCTGCGATTAAATTAATTTGAGGGACCAAATGCACGCGTTTATGCTAGGCTGCGTTGCCAAGTTGTCTTTTGTATAACAAATTAAATGCCTGTGTTTTATATAGGTACTTATTATACATATACCTACCATAGAATAGGAATATTATTATAATTAAAAACAATATAATAAATAGGTAAATAGTTATGTATTTTTGTGGGTAGTAATTTTCTGTTACTAATAAATAGAGGTATAAAACACAAAGGATTTTGCTGAAATTTAGCATACTTTTCAAGTTCAGGTGATTAGGTGATAATACATTTTATTTACGACTAATGTATAATATGCATATTATATTTGTGATTTTGGCAGTATAATGACATATGTTATTCCTCCAGGGATTAATGACGAGTAGCGGGATTAATGGTCATTATTCCACAAAAGTGTCAGTGTCAAACGTGTAGTGCTTGTGGATTTGTATTGAAAATTATGAGACGGATGAAATTTGTTCATTGAAAATCTCAAATAAATTAATTTGTCGTAAATAAAGTAGAGTATACTACTCGCAATAATGACTATTATTCCCTCGTAATAATCCTCGGGAATAATAGTTATCATTATTGACTCGTGGTATAATCTACTATTAACCACTAATGAACGGTGTAAATTATTGTCAAATGTGACAGGTGCAAATTTTTGAACCATTATTTCGCAACGGATTTTGCTGAAATTTTGCATACGCTTAAGTTCGGGTGATTATACATTTTAGACCACTAATGACGGATGTCGACTGTCAAATGTGACAGATGTAGATTTGTGAACCATTTGTTCGCAACAGATTTTGCATACACTTTAAGTTCGGGTGATAATACAATTTGGAATATTCAACAGCTGTCGAATGTAATTTTTGACAGCTGTCAAAATATGACAGGTCGAGAGGTGGGCAGGTTGTCAGCATTACCCCCGTCTTTGAAAATTTGCTTTTTTCGACAAATAGACAAATTTCAAAAATAAATAACCCATAATTTTGCACACCGATTTTCAAAATTTGCACACTCTTTTGGGGAAAGTTATATCGTATCAAAAATTTGCATAACCACCTCCCATTTTTTAAAAAATTGATAGACCCCTATGCTACTCGTTTCATTTAATTTTGGACAATTTTGCACACCTATATGCAAATTTTGCACACTTTTCTGAGAAAAGTTATGAGGTGTGATAAATGTGCACTTTTTTCCCCGTTCTTCTGAAACTTGAAAAATTCTTATGCTACTCGCCTCGGCTAATTTTGCACTCGCTTCCAGGGGAAAGTTGATGGGTATCACAAAATTAACATTTTCACCCTCGTTTTTTCAAAAAATTTAAATTTTTTTCAGCTATTCGGGTTAACCTAATTTTGCACAATTTTGCATACCTATTTCAAATTTTGCACACTTCTCTGAAGAAAATTATGAAGCTTAAAAATTTGCACTATCTCCGCCGGTTGTCGAAAAATTGAAAAATCTTATGCTACTCGCTTTGGTTTATTTTGCACAATCTTGCGCACTCCTCTGGGGGAAAGTTATGAGGCATTAAAAATTTGCACTTTCCATCCCGTTTGTCGAAAAATTGAAATAGTTATTTTATTATGCTACTCGCTCCGGCTAATTTTGCACACCCATTTTCAAATTTTGCTCACGCTTCTGGGGAAAGTTATAAGGTATATCCTATCCACAATCCGTAGTCCAAAGGTAAAGGTAAATTCATCACCATTCCATATCAAATAGCACTGAAAGGTGATGAATTTTCCCTTTATCTTTGGACATCGGGTTGTGAATAGATAATATCAATAATTTGCATTTTCCCCCCCCCGTTTTTTCAAAAAATTAATATAACCTCAATGCTATTAGGTTCACCTAATTTTGCACAATTTTTGCACACCTATTTTCAAATTTTGCACACTCTTCTGGGAAAAGTTATGAGGTGTGATAAATGTGCACTTTTTTTTTTTAATCTGAAACTTGAAAAAAATTCTTATTGCTACTCGCTCCGGCTAATTTTGCACACCTTTTTTTTTTAAATTTTACACATTCCTCTGGGTGTTGAGATGTTATATTAAAAATTTGCACGTTTTCCCCTGTGTTTGTCAAAAAAATTGAAAAAACTCTCGCTACTGGGTTCACTCAATTTTGCACGCGTATTTTCAACCCGAATTGAAGTAACATAAGAATTCTTTCATTTTCTCAAAAAAACCGGCGGGAAAGTGCACATTTTGCAAAATTTGAAAAATAGGTGTGCAAAGTTGTGCAAAATTGGGTGAACCCAGTAGCCTAAGGATTTATCAACTTTTTGAAAAAACGAGGGCGGGGGAGACAAGTATAGGATCTTTCAATTTTTCGACAAAACAGGGGGGAGAAGTGCAAATTTTTAATGCCTTATAACTTTCCCCAAAAACGTGCGCAAAATTGAGCAAAATTAGCTAAAGGGAGTAGCATAAGATTTTTCAATTTTTCGACAAACGGCGGGGATAGTGCACATTTTTAATACCTCATATAGTTTTTTTTTTTTTTTAAGATAAAAGTCAAAATGACATTATGTTGGCAATGTAATGTAAAATTGTCAATGGTTTCAATTTTTTTATGTAGAAAAAGGCTTGTGCTGCCAACATAGTTATTGAATTTTTGACTTGGGGAATTATTTAAAAAATAAAAACAGTACTCTAACTTTCCCCAGAAAAGTGTGCAAAATTTGAAAAATAGGGCATGCGAAATTGTGCAAATTTAGGTGAACCGAGTAGCATATTAATTTTTTCAAGTTTTAGACAAACAAGGGTGAACAGTCAAGTTTGCTCCCAGTTTAAAAAAAAATCCTGTGCAGTTCACACCCGGTAGAAGTGAAACCTTCATCGAACTGCATACATTACACACATACTAACATACACAGTGGCGTCCCCCCCCCCCCCCCCCCCTCCAAAAGACTTGAGAAAGAACGCAAATAACTTTAGTTTAAAAAAACTAAAACACACGCTGGGGTTCTTTGTTCCACATTTCTTATACATTGAGCACTCCACGCTTTTTTGACAATAATTCTAATATTTTTTGTTCATTAATATTTTCTGTTTA